ATCCAGCTACTTGGGAGGCTGAGGCAGGAGAATCACTTTAACCCGGTAGCAGAGGTTGCAATGAGCTGAGATTGTGCCACTGCACTCCAGCCCGGGTGACTAGAGTGAGACTCCGTCTCAAAAAAAAAAAAAAAAAAAAAAGCATCACTTCTCTTTCCTGACTTCCCTATTTCTTTTTCTTTTTTCTTTTTTTTTGAGACAGGGTCTCACTCTGTCACTCAGGCAAGAGTGCAGTGGTGTGATCATGGCTCACTGTAGCCTCAACTTCCCAGGCTCAGATGATTCTCCTATCTCAGCCTAGCTGGGACCACAGGTACTCACATCATGCCCAGCTAATTTTGTGTACTTTCGGTAGAGACAGAATTTTGCCATGTTGCTCAGGCTGGTCTTGAACTCCTAGGCTCAGGCAATCCGCCTGCCTCGAACTCCCAAAGTGCTGGGATTACAGTTATGAGTCCCAGTGCCTGGCCTCTTTCGTTTTTTTTTTTGTTGTTTGAGATGGGGTCTCATTCTGTCACCCAGGTTGGAGTGCAGTGGCTCCATCACGGCTCACTGCAGTCTCTGCCTCCCAGGCTCAAGTGATCCTCCCACCTCAACCTCCCAAGTAGCTGGGACCACCCACAGGAGTGTGCTCATTCTTTTTTTAGAGATAGGGGTCTCACTCTATTGCCCCAGGCTGCAGTAGGCAATCATGGCTCACTGCAGCCTCCAACTCCTGGGCTCAAGCAATCCTCCCACCTCAGCCTCCTGAGTAGCTGGGACCACAGGAATGAGCCACTGTATGTGGCCTATTAAGTCACTATTCCTATAAATAGTACCACCTTCCAAAAGTCCCCTAGGCCCCCATCTCTTTTTTGACTCCTTCTTCCCTCCCTCCTCATCCATTCCTCTCAGTCCTGTGGTCCTTTCCTTCTCAATGTCTTTTTAAATCCCTTCCTTCCTTATCCCTATCTTCCACTCCTTCTCACCTGCTTCTAGAACTTCCATTCTAATCCATCCTAATCCTATGTAAAGTCCTTATATGAAATCAAGCCTCTTAAGACACCAGGCCAGGTGCGGTGGCTCACGCCTGTAATCCCCCAGCACTTTGGGAGGCCGAGACGGGCGGATCACGAGGTCAGGAGATTGAGACCAGCCTGGCTAACACGGTGAAACCCCGTCTCTACTAAAAATACAAAAAAATTAGCCGGGCGTGGTGGCGGGTGCCTGTAGTCCCAGCTACTTGGGAGGCTGAGGCAGGAGAATGGCATGAACCCGAGGCGGAGCTTGCAGCGAGCCGAGATTGCGCCACTGAACTCCAGCCTGGGCGACAGAGCAAGACTCCGTCTCAAAAAAAAAAAAAAAGACACCAAAACACCGATTTCATCTAGTACAGAAAGAATGAGGGCCTGATAACTGCAGAAATTTAAACTTCTTTGGCGGGGCCGGGCGCGGTGGCTCATGTCTATAATCCCAACACTTTGGAGGGCGCTGAGGCAGGTGGCTCACTTGAGGTCAGGAGTTCGACACCAGCCTGGCCAACATGGTGAAACCCGATGTCTACTAAAAATACAAAAATTAGCCAGTTGTAGCGGCACATACCAGTAGTCCCACTTGGCACCTCCCAAGTCCCACTACTTGGGAGGCTGAGGCTGGAGGATCGCTTGAACCCAAGCAACAGAAGTTGCAGTGAACTGAGACTGTGCCACTGCACTCCAGCCTGGGTGACAGAGCGACTCTGTCTCAAATAAATAAATAAATAAATAAAATAAACTTCTTGGGCTGGAAATTGGAGACTTGGAAGAATTTGGTCTTCACTTCCCAGCCTTATCTTCCCTCATTTCCAAACCCCTCTGTTACTGTGTGCCCCAAACAGGTTTGCTCTCTCTACATCACCATCTAGTGTTTTTGTTTGTTTGTTTTTTGTTTTTTGCGCCAAATTTTCCCATTCTTCAATGGCTAGCTCAAATGCAGTATCCTCACTGAATCATCTGTTCCCCCATCCCCAGTTCCCTAAAGAGAATGCCTGCGTTTTAGCACTGCCTTGTATCTTTATCTTTTAAGAGTTCTTTATCCACTCCAGCATCAACCTCCATCCAACCACAGGCAAAATCTTCTTTTTTTTTTTCTTTGAGACGGAATCTCGCTCTGTAACCCAGGCTGGAGTGCAGTGGCGTGATCTTGGCTCACTGCAAGCTCCACCTCCCGGGTTCATGCCATTATTCTGCCTCAGCCTCCCCAGTAGCTGGGACTACAGGCGCCCGCCACCACATCCGGCTAATTTTTTGTACATTTAATAGAGACGGGGTTTCACCGTGTTAGCCAGGATGGTCTCGATCTCCTGACCTTGTGATCCGCCCGCCTCGGCCTCCTAAAGTGCTAGGATTACAGGCATGAGCCACCGTGCCCGGCCGCAAAATCTTCTTAAACTTCCCAACTCCTATAAAGGTCATAGCAGGTACCCACATAGCAGGTACTCATTAAACATCGCTTGACTGATCGCGGTGGGACTTGAGAGAAGACTGAAGTCATCAAGAGATGGTTTGTGAGAAAAGAGAATCTGAGATGGTTTTTCAAGCATTTAGTTGAGGAAAGGGGAGCAGGGCTTCCACGTAAGGAGAGCAACGTGTATTGGTAAGCTAAGAACATCAGACTGAGCAGAGGAGAAAAACGTGGAAGCCACAGAGAAAAAGGCCTGGAACAACCAAGGCCAGATTACAAGCAACAGTGGAATGACTTGATTCAACACAAGCACGCTTCTGGGAGCAGAATGGACTGAGGAGAGGTGAGGACGGGAGAGACCTGAGTCTCTGGGCCAAGCAGAGGCTTCTGCAACCATTCAGGCAAACGTGGGGTGACAAGGACCCTGAGTGAGATGATGCTGAATCCCAAATGCTGGTTTGCTCAACTGGTACAGTTCACATCATTAAGTCCTAACAACCGTGAAGCTTGTGTCTCTACAGATAGCATGTGACTCCCCCCCCCCCCGACCAAGTGTCCCTCTCACTTCATAATGTGACTCTAGGCTGGGTGCAGTGGCTCACGTGTGTAATCCCAGAACTTTGGAAGGGAAAGGTGGGAGGATCACTTGAACTCAGGAGTTTGAGACCAGCCTGGGCAACATAGCAAGACCTCATCTCTACTAAAAATCAAAAGAATTAGCCAAGCGTGGTGGCGTGTGCCTATAGCCCCAGCTACTTGGGAGGCTGAGGCAGGAGACTTATTTGAGCACAGGGGTTCAAGGCTACAGTGAGCTATGATCGCGCCCCTGCACTCCAGCCTAGACAACAGTGCGAGACTCTGTCTCAAAACCAAGTAACAAAAACAAAATGTAGCCTATTAAACTCAGCTTAGGTCATTTAAATTATTCAATACCCATATTAATATCTTCAAAGCAAACTAATTCCACTGTGGTTATAGCAAGTTAGGCATTTCTAGGCAAGTGGTTTGATTGGAGTCAGGATGTCCTCTTTTTGTGAAATTATGGCAGTAGTACCTGCTTTGCTAGGATACTTGATAAACGAATTTAATGAATATCTGTAAAGTACTTTGAGCTCCTTGGAGAACAGTTCCATATATAAAGAAGCCTTATGACCTGCCTGCAACTGTAGATTTGGCAAACGTAATCTTACTTTTTTTCTCTTTTGGGATATGCTCCCCTTTAAACTGAAGCTCAACCTCCTGAAGGGGGTTTCTTACTAGGAAAAATCAGACAATTTAAGGAAATAGCTATCACCTCCAAGATCCTGGAAGTACTAAATAAAAGACCTCAGAACGAGGCAGTACTAGGTATCTCGCCTATCCCATTACCAGTCCAATTTTTCTCTCCACTTCAAGGAGGCTTCCAGGTCTAGCCTATAGAAAAGTTCACTTATTAACCCTCAGGCCGAGTACTACCTGCTAACCAGATTAACACACATTTCCTTCGTAGCACTGTAATTCACAGTGCAATGACAGCAATACGCCTCTATAACTACAGCTTCAGACTGTGCTCCTCGGCCTTAGAATAGGCTATCAACACTGACTCGTTAGGATGTTCAAAGGGGTATATGTATGTGTGCGGGGTGGGGGAGTCCTCGATACCGATTTCACCATGCTTCTGTGGTCACTGCAAGAAAAAGGTAGAGCTCTCTGCTCTCTATCGTCGCTCTCTTTGGAATATTATTCTCACTTCAAGCATTCTGCCTGAGCGAAGCCGTCACTTCTTCAACACATGGTCGCAATTCTGAAGCTGCTAGGCGACTGAACGCAGTCGGCAGCACCCACCACTACCGGAGATTCAGCCCCAATCCGAAGCTTTTCCCTTAGTCAGGGGGCGCTAGGTTCCTGGAGTCACCGCCGGGCGGCGACCCCACCACATTCTCCCCAAAGCGCCGAAGCATGTCAGCCCTAAGATCGTGGCTGTCGCCTTCCCCCGAGCCTGCGGTGCCCGACGGGACCCCGAGTTCACGCCGCCGCGCGCCAGAGCAAGAGGACGAGCCGCAGCTAGGGAAACGGGGGCCGGGATGGGGCCCCGGCGCCCTGATAGGGAAGGGGCGTGATAGCATGCTGCTCGCGGCGAGGGCGAGCCCGGGCGTGGGCTCCTAAGAGGTGAAGCCGTGGAGCCCGAGGAGGGGACGTGGGGGTAAAGAGAGGGGCAGCCCAGAGGCTCGAGGGCAGCCAGAACCGGCCGCGGCTACTCACTCAGCCAGGACTCCAGGCTCTCCCCTTCCGCCTCCGCCATATTGCAGCCGCCCGGGCCGGCCCCGCCGCCTCAAAACTCGCGAGAGTCTGCACGAGCTGAGGCGGGGCGGGGCCTTCATGGGGGCCTGAGAGGAGTGAGTGCCGTCACCTAGGGCCGCGCCAGAGTGCGACAGATATTGGGAGGGCAAGTGTTTCCTTTTGGCTCTTCCCTTTGGTCCCCAGAGTGAGAAACTCTAACGTCCAGATCAGTGGAGAGAAACGCAGATTTAGGACCCTGAGGAGTCTTTGTCACCCGTTTCGCGTCATTCGCTCAGGCGCGCCGAGGGCAGTCCTTGTGGGGTCCTCGTGACCAGCCAAGATGGCTGCCCCCGCAGTGAAGGTTGCCCGAGGATGGTCGGGCCTGGCGTTGGGCGTGCGGCGGGCTGTCTTGCAGCTTCCAGGGTGAGAGGGCGGTGGGCAGCGGGGGGCGCCGCTTGGTTCTACACGAAGGGACCTGCGAGGAAGGAAGGGGGCCACAGGCAGGCCTCGTGGGGCCCTGGAGAGAGCATTGCCCTGGGGGCCGGAGTATCTGGATTCAAGCTTCTAAGTTAGCTGCGTGACCCTGGACCAATCTGAAGGTTTAGTGACTACCTCTCGCCTAAGGGGTCTGGCTGATTTAGGGTCTAACGCGGAGCTGAAAGTGCGGTTCAGCTAAAGAGCTCAGAGCTGGGATCGCCTGTGAATTGGGAAGGATGTGTAGGCGCCAAGCCCATCCTTACCGTTAGCACTTGACCAGGAGGTGACTTGACCCGCCTGCTTGAGGGATGTCCTACTTCTTGGGACAAGGGCCTGAATTGTTGTGGCTCAGCTTTAGCTCGCAGTCTCCGCGCCGCTCTCCTTAGTCGGCACGTTGGCAGCCATGCCTATTGTTAAGTCAAACCTACTCGCTTGTGGAGTCAGCTTTTGCCTGTCTCCTCCTCTTCCCCCTCCTAGGTTAACTCAGGTGAGGTGGAGCCGCTATAGTCCTGAATTCAAGGATCCCTTGATTGACAAGGAATATTATCGTAAGCCTGTGGAGGAGCTAACTGAGGAGGAGAAGTATGATCGGGAGCTCAAGAAGACTCAGCTCATCAAAGCTGCTCCAGCAGGGAAAACAAGTTCTGTGTTTGAAGACCCAGTCATCAGGTTAGATGGAAACAAACATTTGTTACATGGACTGGGACTATCCCAGGGAGGGTCTCTTGTGAGGATTCCGTGATACAGCCTTGGAGAGCTAAACATGTTGCTTTTCTCTTTGAAGTAAATTCACCAACATGATGATGAAAGGAGGAAACAAAGTACTGGCCAGATCCCTCGTGACTCAGGTAAACAGCACCTCCCTCCTCAGTCATCTTTCTTTTGCCCCCCACCCCATAGCCTTGTACTTGGTACTTTCAGTGTAGCTTAAGAGGAAATGGATTCATATACCTATTATTAAGATTAATTTCTCGGCCGGGCGCGGTGGCTCAAGCCTGTAATCCCAGCACTTTGGGAGGCCGAGACGGGCGGATCACGAGGTCAGGAGATCGAGACCATCCTGGCTAACATGGTGAAACCCCGTCTCTATTAAGAAATACAAAAAACTAGCCGGGCGAGGCGGCGGGCGCCTGTAGTCCCAGCTACTCGGGAGGCTGAGGCTGGAGAATGGCATGAACCCGGGAGGCGGAGCTTGCAGTGAGCTGAGATCCGGCCACTGCACTCCAGCCTGGGTGACAGAGCGAGACTCCGTCTCAAAAAAAAAAAAAAAAAAAAAAAGATTAATTTCTCTGCATGTGTACGGGCTTTAATGAAGCCCTGTAGGAGTCAACAACTGCCATTCCTTGGTGTTTCGGAAATAAACACACAATTACAAAAAAAGGTAAAATAAAACAACTGCCATTCCCCACCTCACTCACCCCCACCCCACGCCACAAATCTCAGTCCACTCTTTTTGTCCTAGTCTAGCAAAGGGGGAGGCACTTAAAAACTTTGTTTTGGATGTGCTGTGAGAGGAGCTGCATTGCCATAGCAGAACCGGAGGATGGGAGTAAAGGGCAAGGTACTAGCTTGGCTGGGTAAACCCTTTAGGGAGCCTGGGGCAGCCTCTTCCACTGTATTCTTTTGCAGACTCTGGAAGCTGTGAAAAGGAAGCAGTTTGAGAAGTACCATTCCGCTTCTGCAGAGGAACAGGCAACCATCGAACGCAACCCCTACACCATCTTCCACCAAGCACTGAAAAACTGTGAGCCTGTGATTGGGCTGGTACCCATCCTCAAGGGAGGCCGTTTCTACCAGGTGAATGAATGGCCAGGGCAAGAAAGCAGGATCCCTCACATGTGAAACAAGATAGGTGGTACTTGGGAGTTGGGTCAAGATAGCTTTCTAGCTGGTGCAGTGGGATTGCACCTGTAATCTCAGCACTTTGGGAGCCTAATGCAGGATAGCTTGAGCTCAGGAGTTAGAGACCAGCAGGGCAACATAAGGAGACCCCAGCTCTACAAAAAAAAAAAAAATTAGCCAGCTGTGGTGGTGTGCACCTGTGCTCCCAACTACTCAGGAGGCTGAGGTAGGAGGATCACTTGAGTCCAGTAGGTTAAGGCTGCAGTGAGTTGTGATTGCGCCCTAAAGCTTGTCTCAGGAAAAAAAAAAAAAAAAGCAGCTGGGCATGGTGACTCATAGCTATAATCCCAGCACTTTGGGAGGTCAAGGCCGGTGGATTACCTGAGGTTGGGAGTTGGAGACCAACATGGAAAAACCCTGTTTCTACTAAAAATACAAAATTAGCCAGGTTGTGGTGGCGCATGTCTGTAATCCCAGCTACTTGGGAGGCTGAAGCTAGAGAATCGCTTGAACCCAGGAGGTGGAGGTTGCGGTGAGCCGAGATCACGCCATTGCACTGCAGCCTGGTGACAGAGCAATACTCCGTCTCAAAAAAAAAAAAGAAAAGATTGAGACTGTCATGGTCCACTCATCTGAGTCCTATAGCAGAAAAATTATAGGCAGAAGATGGAAGAGAGCAAAAAGTACCTAAATAACATCTGGGAGCCCACCTCCCTTTACCTTCTTCTGTCAAGCATCCTGTGTGTCCTAACCTGTAAAATTCTCATGGTGAGGGACTATTCATATCCTATCTTCGTATGCCAGTGTTTGCCATAGTGCTTGACCCATAACTGATGCTTCATCCGTGTTTGCTGAGCATTACTAGGTACCTCTTTCATAGCATTTAATTATATTGTATTGTCCTGGGTTTTCTTGTGTTCTCCTTTTTCAGTATCAACTCCATGGGGTAGGGACTTCTTCATTATTGTCTGCACTCTCGTGTCTGGCATGGTACTGACACATAGTGAAGGCCTAGCAAATTATTTTTGGACAGGGGGTCTTGTTTTTTTGTTTTTCTTTTAACTTTCTTTTTTTTTTTTGAGATGGAGTTTCACTCTTGCCCAGACTGGAGTGCAGTGGCGTAATCTCGGCTCTTGGCTCACTGCAGCCTCCGCATGCCAGGTTCAGGAGATTCTCCTGTCTCAGCCCCTGCACCCCACCCTCCACCACCGACCCCGAGTAGCTGGGATTACAGGTGGCCGCCACCATGCCAAGCTAATTTTTTTGTACTTTTAGTAGAGTATGTTTGTATTTTAGTAGAGGGTTTTGCTGTGTCTGAAGACTGAAGGGGTCTTGTTTTTAGGTACCTATGGTCTGAGGCAGATAAGTCACCCCAGCTAATAGGGCTTTTCCTGTTTGGTTCTTATAACAACTTGGTAGGACTACCATTTAGGAGGGAAAATGGCCAATGCTTTTCTTCTTTTTCTTTTTTTTTTTTCTTTGAGACGAAGTCTTGCTCTGTTACCCAGGCTGGAGTGCAGTGGTGCAATCTTGGCTCACTGCAACCTCTGTCTCCTGGGTTCAAGCAATTCTACCTCAGCCTCCCAAGTAGCTGGGATTACAGGCGCCTGCCACTGTGCCCAGCTAACTTTTGCATTTTTAGTAGAGACGAGGTTTCACCACGTTGGCCAGACTGGTCTCGAACTTCTGACCTCAGGTAATCCGCCTGCCTCGGCCTCCCAAAGTGCTGGAATTACAGGCGTGCACCACTGCGCCTGGCCTTATTTTTCTTTTCGATATATGGAGACAAGGTCTTGTTAGACCAGCCTGGTCTTGAACTCCTGGGCTCAAGCAATCCTCCTGCCTCGGCCTCCCAAAGTGCTGGGATTACAGGTGTGAGCCACTGTGCCTGGAGAGGCCAGTGCTTAATGAGTGTTTGCTGAATGAACGCCTCTTATGTCTGCTGCACTGGGGTCACCTGAAGGTGAGGGAAGCTCAAAGAAGACAAGACAGGCCCTTCTCACCAGGCCTGACCAGGGCTGGTCCAGAGGGAACGTGTGGCTACTCCTTAGAATTAGGCAGGAGGCCCCAAACCCTGGCAGACTCTTGGACCAACTTGCCTATGTCCTGTCTCCCCAGGTCCCTGTACCCCTACCCGACCAGCGCCGCCGCTTCCTAGCCATGAAGTGGATGATCACGGAGTGCCGGGAGAACAAGCACCGGCGGACACTGATGCCGGAGAAGCTGTCACACGAGCTGCTGGAGGCTTTCCATAACCGGGGCCCTGTGATCAAGAGGAAGCATGAAATGCACAAGATGGCAGAGGCCAACCGTGCCCTGGCCCACTACCGCTGGTGGTAGAGTCTCCAGGAGGAGCCCAGGGCCCTCTGCCGCAGCAAACAGTGTGAGCCACTGCCAGGCTGAAAGCTCCCTGTGGGTTAGGGATGTGGTTCCTTTGTAAGGGTGGGCAGGCCTCATGAGAAAGAGGGAGCAGCATGTTCACTATCCACGAATCCTTCTTTCTTTGAGGCTAGAACTTGCTCTCTCTGCCCCCATTTCCTTATAAAGAGGGAGCACATTGACTTGGGAATTTCCTCCAGGAAACTCAGGGCCGTCTTCTCTTCCCTTAGCTTGGGGTGGACCGTTGGATATAAAAGGAAGCAGTTTTAGTATTAGAAAAGATTTATTAGAAACTTCTCACGCTGAACTGGTGTAGCATGTGGTGCAGCATTCATTGAAACTGGCTGGAGGAAATAGGCTTGCTTCCAGAGTTGTCCTTGTACAAAATGTATAAAAAGCAGTTTCTGGTATGACTTGTGCTCTGCCTCCGCCCGTTGACATCCCAAAGCATCCCAATGGCTATGCTTACCCATTTTACAGATGGGTAAACTGAGGCACCAAGGTAGTAGTTGCACTAATGGTTACACAGTGCAGTGGCTCTTAGGAGTTGCTCTTCTCTGCCTGGCCCTGGTGGGAAGGTGGTGGGGAAAGGGGCTCAGGGCAGGACCATGGCATAAGTGGGAAACATCTCACCAGGAGATGGGAAAGTCTAGAAGGGAAGACACTCAAAGTCTGGAAGGGAAAAGTCTTTGGGTGAGGCAGAGACTCCACTGCCAGTTTCAGAGGTGTGTAGAAGAAAGGCCAGTGCTGGCAAGGAAGCCCTGATCTGGAGGCCTAGTCAGAGACTTCGCTGTAATAATACTTGTGAGCAGCTGGCGTCGTCTTCCAGCCGGCCGCCCGGAACTCAATGATCTCCAGCAGCAACAGCTGGGCCAGGGAGCTGAGGCCAGTTGGGAGCAGGAAGCCATCCCGGATCAGCACAAAGAGCTCATCCATGCGCTGCCCATTCATTTTCTCCAGCTGCTCCCCGACCCGGTGCAGCTGTAGCACCAAACAGTCCACCTGCAGGGGACGGCGGGGGGCGGGGGGGTAACACGAGTGAACTGGGGCAGGGTCAGCCTGTCACACAGCATTTGCCAAGTGCCAGGTGCTGTGCCTTGCCTTTACACTCATTCCCTTGCTCCCTCCTCACCATCCAGTGGGTACTTCTTCACCATTGAAGCAGAGCTATCACTAATGGTCTGAATTTGACTGGTTTTACAGCTCTGCAGTGTTAGTAGAGTTTTGCAGGAGCCAGCTGTGCTGTGCTGATGGTATCATTCTCTTACTCAAGCATTTTCAGTGGCTCCTAGCAGACTTCCACATCTTACACAGAAAGAAATGAGTTCCGGGACTTCCTGAGGTCCCTCGTCTGGCCAGGCTCCACTCAAGCCTGTCTCCAAACCACTCCTTCATCCCGCTCTCCTGCCTCCCTCACACTGCCTGACCCTGGTTTGGCTTTGGGGCCATCTGTACCCACAGCTAGCCATGGCTCGCACAGCTGCCATCAGAGGTTGGCTTTCTGACTGAGAAGGAAGCTGCTGAGCCAGTAGGTTTTGGCTGCTGTCTGTATTGGATAAATTCCAGACCTGGCAGCTTGTCCTGTAATTCTGACAGGCCTTAAACACCCCCACACTCCTGCCCCAGAAGTGACACCGTCCTAAAAGGCCTCCATGAGCAGTGAGCTGACACTCGGCTGAGCCAGACTGTCCATCCCGCAGCCTTCTGTGCTTGTACCGGGGCTGGGGCCACCCACCTCCTCCTCCTTGCTCAAACTGTCTGGCTGGGCCAGCCGGAAGAGGCAGTCATAGACAGGGTTCACCAGGGCCATCATGGGCATGTTGTTCACCTGTGAGGGAGAGGAGGGGTCAGAGCACCAGGCTTAGTGGCTGAGGGAAACAGTCCAACCTGGGCCTCGGGTGACAGGCCATGTCGCCTCCCAGGGTGGCTGCCGGGGCCTCACCCTCAGGTAGTCAAAGATGTTGCAGATAAAGGTGACATAGCAGACCCAGCCCTGCAGGGAGCGTGCTCGCAGCTGCTCCCGAGCCTGGTACTCCTGCTGCAGCCGGTTGAGGAGTCCACGCCGGAAGACACTCTGGCCTGCTTGTTTACTCTCTGCCTGTGAGCCAGGGAGAGGAAGGTGAAGGGTGGGGGGCGGTGCCCCTGCAACCCCACCCATCCTATGCCTCTTTATGTCTTTGAGTTAGACCCTGTGCATCTCTGTCCTGCAGGCCAGGCCTCTGCCCACTCCTGAAGCACTTTCCTCAAAGCAGCTTCCTTTACTCTCCCGACCCCCAACCTGAATGATGGCGTAGCACATGCGTCCTGCTTCCTTGCTGAACACACAGTCCTGCAGAGAATGGTCCACAATGACATTGGCCACTTTCTCCAAGTCCACAGCACCCGGATCTAGGGGTAGAGATATGAGGGGAGCCTAGAGCTGCTGCTTTATCACATTTGCCTCCACCTGCTTCTAAGAACTTGAGATATTTAGAGTAGAGCACTCTCATATGCTTGAAGTGAAAGAGATCAGAAATCATACAGAGGACAGTGACTCCAGTGGTGCAATCAGCGCATGGTACTTACAAGAAATCATGGCCGATGGGGGAGGGATTGCATTGGGAGTTATACCTGATGTAAATGACGAGTTGATGGGTGCAGCACACCAACATGGCACAAGTATACATATGTAACAAACCTGCACGTTATGCACATGTACCCTTGAACTTAAAGTATAATTAAAAAAAAAAAAAAAGGCCGGGCACGGTGGTTCACGCCTGTAATCCCAGCACTTTGGGAGGCCGAGACGGGTGGATCACGAGGGCAGGAGATCGAGACCATCCTGGCTAACATGGTGAAACCCCGTCTCTACTAAAAAATATAAAAAACTAGCTGGGCGAGGTGGCGGGTGCCTGTAGTCCCAGCTACTCGGGAGGCTGAGGCAGGAGAATGGCGTGAACCCGGGAGGCGGAGCTTGCAGTGAGCTGAGATCCGGCCACTGCACTCCAGCCTGGGCGACAGAGCGAGACTCCGTCTCAAAAAAAAAAAAAGAAAAAAAAAAAAGAAATCATGGCCGAGCTCAATGGCTCACGCCTGTAATCCCAACACTTTGGGAGACCAAGGTGGGTGGATCACCTGGGGTCAGGAGTTTGAGACCAGCCTGGCTAACATAGTGAAACCCCATCTCTACTAAAAATACAAAAATTAGCCACGTGTGGCAGCTTGTGCATCATCTCATGTCATCCCAGCTATTTGGGAGGCTGGGGCAAGAGAATCGCTTGAACTCGGGAGGCAGAGATTGTAGTGAGCCGAGATCATGCCATTGCACTCCAGCCTGGGCGACAAAGCAAGACTCCGTCTCAAAAAAAAGAAAAAGAAAAAGAAAAAAGAAATAATACAAAGGGCCCGGTGTGGTGGCTCACGCCTGTAATCCCAGCAGTTTGGGAGGCCGAGGTGGGTGGATCACCTGAGGTCAGGAGGTCAAGACCAGCCTGGCCAACATGGTGAAACCCCGTCTCTACAAAAATACAAAAAAATTAGCTGGGCATGGTGGTGGGCACCTGTAACCCCAGCTACTTGGGAGGCTGAGGCAGGAAAATTGCTTGAACCTAGGAGGCGAAGGTTGCAGTGAGCCGAGATTGTGCCATTGCACTCCAGCCTGGGCAACAAGAGAGAAACAGTCTCAAAAAAAAAAAAAAAAGAGAAAAGAAACCATACAGAGGACAGTAACCATACAAACAAACAGCTTTAGCCTGTCTGTCTGCTGACTGTTGCCCAGTCAGAGAAAATGGGGAGGGGTTATGTGGCTGGTAGGAACCAATCAAAGAATGTAGTTTCTCAGGAAACACATCTTTTCCTGGCACTAGGTTAAGGAAGGAATACTAACCAGGACATGCCTCCAACAGCAGTTTCACAAGTTTGTTTTTTTTTTTTTGAGACGGAGTCTCCCTCTGTTGCCCAGGCTGGAGCACAGTGGCCGGATCTCGGCTCACTGCAAGTTCCGCCTCCTGGGTTTATGCCATTCTCCTGCCTCAGCCTCCCGAGTAGCTGGGACTACAGGCGCCCACCACCTCGCCCGGCTAGTTTTTTTTGTATTTTTTTTAGTAGACACGGGGTTTTACCGTGTTAGCCAGGATGGTCTCGATCTCTTGACCTCGTGATCCGCTGGTCTCAGCCTCCCAGAGTGCTGGGATTACAGGCTTGAGCCACCGCGCCCGGCCAGAAATAGTGTTTTTATAAGACACAGGGCCTCCCAGCAGGCTCGGCTTGGCACATGATGGGTGCTGCTAATTATTAGTTGAAGACAAACTTCTGTCCTGCATGTTACAGCGGGAAGGCATCAGGCGAGGGCAATTACTATAGCTCCTCTGGCAGACGGAATATTCTCCACCTGTCTCAAAGCACGCAGCTGTGCATTCAAGAGACGGGGCTATGGCAGCACAGAAACGAGCAATTCAAATGTAAGCGCTTCAAGGGCAGGAGCTGTGTTCTTTTTTTTATGATTAAACCTTTTGTTGTTGTTCTTGAGACAGGGTCTTGCTCTGTTAGCCAGGCTGGAATGTAGTGGCAGGATCATGGCTCATGGCACCCTCACCCCCCCAGGCTCAATCAATCCTCCCACCTCAGCATTTTAAGTAGCTGGGACCACAGGTGCGTGCCACCATGACCGGCTAATTTTTCAATTTTTTTTAATTTTTTTTATTTTTTATTTTTTTTTTTGAGACGGAGTCTGGCTCTGTCCCCCAGGCTGGAGCGCAGTGGCCGGATCTCAGCTCACTGCAAGCTCCGCCTCCCGGGTTTACGCCATTCTCCTGCCTCAGCCTCCCGAGTAGCTGGGACTACAGGCGCCCGCCACCTCGCCCGGCTAGTTTTTTGTATTTTTTTTTTTAAGTAGAGACGGGGTTTCACAGTGTTAGCCAGGATGGTCTCGATCTCCTGACCTCGTGATCCACCCATCTCGGCCTCCCAAAGTGCTGGGATTACAGGCTTGAGCCACCGCGCCCGGCCCAATTTTTTTTTATTTTGTAGAGATGGGGTTTACACCATGTTTCCCGGACTGGTCTTGAACTCCTGGACTCAAGCAATCTGCCCACCTTGGCTTTCCAAAGTGCTGGAACTACAGGCATGAGCCACTGCGCCTAGCCCTATGGTTAAACTTTTTAAAAAGTCTTTACAGTCTGAGAGGTGACTGATTCATACTCCAAAATAATGGCCTCAATGTAGCTTGTCTCCAGTTCAAGAATTACGTTGCCGATTCCTATCGTCAGAGAATGAGGGGAGGGGTGGAGGCATTCACCAGGCTCAGCCTCCGGTGCTGCCTACAGGGGCCCTTCTCTGTGGCTCCTGACCCCAGCTCAGGAAGGGGTCCCGTGCTCACCTTTGAGTGCTGTCTTCAGCAGCTGCTGGGTCTCTGCATCAAAGGACTGGATTTTATACTCCTCTCTACTGGGCTCCCCCATGACTAGCCAGCCCCAGTATCTCTTGACTGGGCTGGGACTAAGGACAGCACCTGGGGAAGAGAAGAGGCGAAGGGAGCGGCCTCAGGTGTGGAGCGCAGGGCGGGTTCCGTCCTGCAGACCCTGGGCGGGGCTGACGGCGCTCGGACAGGGGCTCCAGGGCGGTCCGTGGCGTGCGGTGGTTGGCTGACGGCCCACCAGGCTTGGCTTCTGGCGGGGACTGGGCATCAGCCAGGCACCTGCTGCTCAGTTTAGAAACCCCTTGCTTGTGGGATTACACAAGAGCGAGAAGCTGAAGCAGGAAAGCGCCCACCCTCCAGTCCCAGCGGGAGGGAGGAGTGGACTGGGGCAGGGTGTGTGCGGGCGGACGTTACGGTTGCTTAAATAAACCGGCCTGACGCTGCTGGCCCAGCAAGATGCCGGGTGAAGGCCAGGCTGGGAACTCCAAGCGGTGCGACTCTGTCCCCAGCAGGGCTCCAAGGCCCTCTCCCCAACCCTCCCTTTCTGGCTTTTGCCTAGTCCTTCGGTCTAAACACCCGCCGCTGCATCCCCCGGATGGGGCCGGCCTGCGTAGGTAGGAACGCAGGCGCCCTGTCCGCCCCCTAGACCCGGGCCAGCTTCTCCCCGGGACAGACTGGTGGGACCGGCTCCCGAGTGGCTGTAACCCGGCCTTACTCACTCGAGACTCCTAATTCCTAAGCTCCATTATGGAGCTTTCCTCTTACAGTGGGGGGCAGGATGATGCGCCCCCGAGAGGTGGCTCCCGCCGGAGGCTCCCCTCTGGCCATAGGAGGCGCCTTTAGGGTCTCCAGCCCTCGACCGCTCCCCCCGTGCCCAGAACGCCCCTTCCAGCAGCACAGGGCGGACTGCGTAGCCCACGGCGCAGGATCCCGCGGGCGGGAGAGGCGGCGTGGGCGCCGGGACCCACCTGTCGGGCCGGCGGCGCGCGCGCGCGTGCCCGGGGCCGCTCGGCCGCTGGGAGCGCGCAACCAGCGTCCGGCGCTGCGGGTGCCGCCGTGAGCTCATCTCCTCGCGCAGCGCCGGGGAAGGGCCGGCTCGCCGGCGCCACCTGCCGAGCCCCCGGGGCACTGCCCTGGCCTCCAGGCCGCCCCGGAAGCCACCTCGCCCGCGTGGCATCCTGCTACGCTGCCACTCAGCCGCAGGCGGAACTCGCTCGGCTCGTCACCTCTTCACCCGGTGCGCCTCGGCCCTGTCCGGGCCCACGCCGGACCTGCCGGATCCTCGATCTTGCGCGTGGCCCCGCACCCGGCCCTCCCCGGAGCTCAGGTGCACGGGGCCGGGAGACGCCGCTGGGCTGCGCGGCGTGGGAGGAGCCTGCAGAGGGCGTGGTGGGGACCCGGTGGGAGAAGGAACAGCATCTGCCCTGGTCGCACCACTTTCCCCGTTCCCCTCACCCAGGTAGAGAAGGCAGGGGCTGCAGGACCCGGGCCAGCCACAACCCTCTCCCGCTCCAAGGAGGACATGGTCGAAGCGAGTTTCAGGTCAGAGGGGCAGCCCTGAGAAAGGGGCCCCGTGGGCAACTCGCGGCCGTCGGTTGTTGCGAGTGCCCCTGAAGTGGCGCGGACCGGTCCACCGCCCGGCGTCTGCCCTGGGTGACAGGAGGGCACCTAGAAGAGGGGAAGAACTGCCGCCGCTCCTGCCGCGGGACCGGGAGGAGCGTTGCGGGCGCTGCCCGCGTTTTCGCCTCCTTTTAAAAGAACCGCCAGGCCGGGCGCGGTGGCTCAAGCCTGTAATCCCAGCACTTTGGGAGGCCGAGACGGGCGGATCACTAGGTCAGGAGATCGAGACCATCCTGGCGAACACGGTGAAACCCCGTCTCTACTAAAAAATACAAAAAACTAGCCGGGCGAGGCGGCGGGCGCCTGTAGTCCCAGCTACTCGGGAGGCTGAGGCAGGAGAATGGCGTAAACCCGGGGGGCGGGGCTTGCAGTGAGCTGAGATCCGGCCACTGCACTCCAGCCCGGGCGACAGAGCCAGACTCCGTCTCAAAAAAAAAAAAAAAAAAAAAAAGAACCGCCAAAGTGGTTACCGAAAACGGAGGATAAAGAGAACGCTCAGCTGCAGCAAAAGAAACCAGTGGGCAGGAGAGATGAAGAGAAGGAGCTTTAACGGAATTTCATAAAAAATACATTCAGGCAGCTGCATCCTCGCGGCCCCCGCCGCAGCCTGGACCTTGGGAACCAGCAGCCCTGAGCCAGGAAGCCCCAGCATTCAGGGCCCAGACAGACTCCAAAATCCCAGACCAGAGGCAGGGAAGGATGGTGCGAGGAGGAGCCCAGGACCCACACGCCAGGGCCAGCGCCGGCTCCCAGTGGGTGCCTCCTTCCAAGGCTGGAGAGGGAGGCAGAATGGAGGGCTTCCCAGGTCGGAGCAACTCTACAGGCTGGGCAGGTGGAGGGAAGGGTGCAGGTCATGTTCTGGAGACCTCCCCGCAGCCTGGAACTGGTTTCTCCTCTGCCTCTCTGCCTGTGGGTGTCCCTGTGCTCTGGTAACACCCCAGGCACCAGCTGTGCCGTCACCAGGCTGCCTGCCCGCCCCTTCTGCCATCCCCATCAGCGGGCTGCTTCAGAGCCACGGCCCTTCTGCGGCTACAGGGGCGGATGCACCCACAGCATGCTCTGCACTGAGGAGCAGGCAGTGGGCGCTGATGCCACCTGCCCTGCCGACAGCTCCTCACCCAGCAAGGCCGACCCAGCCCCGGGTGAAAGAGGAGCGAGTGAGGTAGATTGGGGAGAGGCTGCACCTTCACCCATGCCTGCCCACAGCACGGCCCCTCCACTTCCTGCACGGGCGCTGGGAACTGCTTTCCATGGAGCCCCACGGCCATGACCAGCCCGGTGCTGGGAGAGGACGGCCTGGGTGGTGTGTGTCTGCAGACACGAAGATCTGGGCACGGGGCCCAGGAAGTGAATGGCTCAGCCTGGAGTTTCCCCCAGCACTAGAAGCAGAGCTGCCAAGGGCTGCAGCTGTGGAGAACATGGGATTTGAGGAAGGCGGGAGTCTTTTCCGTCATACTTTGTGAGCAGGCAGATGTGCCAGGGGAGACGGAAGATAAGGAATGTGCGTTTAGCTTTAATGTCTGTTAAATAGGTTGGGAAAAACAGGCCGAGTGTGGGGACCTGACTCCTGCAAAGGGCCTACTGCAGCCCTCTGCACTCAAGCAGCAGCCCCATCCAGACCAGGAGCGTTCTGTTCTCCGGGCAGACAGGGCTGACAGGTGTAGGACGGCATCTCTTTCCTTTGGAGTGTGGGCTGGGGTCAGAGGAGAAACAGCAACTTCCTGCTCCTTCTCGCTGTGTCGTTGGTTCACCGTAGACCACGTCCTGCATTCCCTCTGATCCTCTCATGGGGAGAGCCCTGGACCTTCTGGTGGTGTCCCAGCTGGGTGTGTTCAAGGCTGCCACCCTGCTGGGGGCAGCTGGCCCGCAGGGAAGGGCCAGACAGCACCTCTCAGTGGAGACTGAATCTTCCTTCAGGAGGCTGCCTCCAGGAAAGACCTGGGGTCCTCCCTGCGCTCAGCGCTGGCTGGCTGTCCTGTTCATGCAGTGGAAGACGTTACAGAAGAATTCATACCAGAAGAACATGAAGCCTGTGGAGAGGGCAGCCTTCAGCAAGCTGGGGGACAGGCCCTTGAAGAAGCCCAGGGCACCTTCCTTTTGCAGCACCTGCTTGGCACAGTCCATGAGGCCCTTGTATCTGCGCACCTGGGGAGAGGAAAGGGATGAAAACATGGATGTCCACTCTGCTCCCATCAACACAGCCCGTGGCACATCACAGCTCTTAAGAAGTACTTGCTGGACAAAGGAATGAATGCAAAATAGCAAATGTTTTTATTTTCTTTTTTCTTTTTTTTTTTTTTGAGACGGAGTCTCGCTGTGTCTCCCAGGCTGGAGTGCAGTGGCGTGATCTCGGCTCACTGCAAGCTCCGCCTCCCGGGTTCACGCCATTCTCCCGCCTCAGCCTCCCAAGTAGCTGAGACTACAGGCGCCCGCCACCACACCCGGCTAGTTTTTTTTTTTTGTATTTTTAGTAGAGACGGGGTTTCACCATGTTAGCCAGGATAGTCTCGATCTCCTGACCTCGTGATCCACCCGCCTCGGCCTCCCGAAGTGCTGGGATTACAGGCTTGAGCCACCGCGCCCGGCCTATTTTATTTTTTTCATTGAGGCAGAATTTCTCTCTGTTGCCCAGGCTGGAATGCAGTGGCACAATCTTGGATCATTGCAGCCTCCGCCTCCCAGGTTCAAGCGATTCTCCTGCCTCAGCCTCCTGAGTAGCTGGGATTACAGACACACACCACCACCCCCGGCTAATTTTTTGTATTTTTAGTAGAGATGCAGTTTCGCCATGTTGGCCAGGCTGGTCTTGAACTCCTGACCTCAGGTGATCCACCTGCTTCAGCCTCCTAATGTGCTGGGATTACAGTCGTGGGCAACCATGCCCAGCTCAAAATAGCAAATAAATTAATCTCATTCTTTGTACTGCAATTAGGTTAAGACTGAATAGCTGACAGGCCTAGAAATCAGCAGCTGGACAGACCTCCTTCCTGCCCAGGAAGAACGGCTGCCTGTGGCTCCAAAGGATCCAGCAATGGCTCCGGAACCTCTTCCCAGAGGTGTCTCTGACCCTTCACCTCATCCCACCTGATCCCCCTTGGGCAGCAGATCTGAACCTGGCCCTCAGTAGCTCTCAGCCAGGCCTCCCTGCCTCCAGCTCACCCTCTCCAGCTGACCTCATGCACTGCTGCCAGACTTTCGTCCCCAGGCACAGCCCTCCTCAGGCCTGGCTTCCCTCCAAAAGCTGCAGTAACTCATAGTGACAACATCATGAGAAATCAAGTTCAAACCCCAAGATCTGCCATTCAAGGCACTGCACCATTTCGCCTTGATTTCCCTCCATGATCTGACCTCCACTGTCCTCCCACATGCCCTTCCCACCTCTGGCCAGACTGGATTACACTAGTCTTCGTTAGCAGCAAGGCCTCCCTCTGCCATCCTGGGCTCCCACCATCACTCCCTGTCCAAATTCAAACTGTCCCTTCATGCTGGGTGCAGTGGTGCATGCCTGCAGTTCCAGCTACTTGGGAGGCTGAGAGGGGAGGATCGCTTGAGCCCAGGAGTTCGAGACCAGCCTAGGCAACAGAGTGATGTCCCATTTAAAAAAAAAAAGAAAAGAAAACAAACTCTTCAGGACAAGTTGGTAAGTGGAAAAGGGAGGTTACAAACCTTGTATACAGTGTATCCCCATTTTTGTTAAAATGTACACTGTATTTATGAAAAGAAATAAAACTACATTGAACGTTTCTATGTGGTTATCTGTGGTAGTGAAATTACAAGGGATTTTGGTCTTTTTTTTTTTTTTTTTGAGACAGAGTCTCACTCTGTCGCCCAAGATGGTGTGCAGTGGTGTGATTATAGCTCACTGCAGCCTCGAACTCCTGGGCTCAAGCAATTCTCCTGCCTCAGACTGTCCAGTAGCTGGAACTACAGGCACACACCACCATGCCTGGCTAATTTTTAAATTTTTATTTTGTAGAGACGGGGTCTTGCTATATTGACCAGGCTGGTTTCAGACTCCTGGCCTCAAGTGATCTTCCCATTTTGGCCTCCCAAAGTGTTGGGATCACAGGTGTGATCAACTGCAGCTGGCTTGGTCTTTGTTTTTGTCTATCTAAATTCTCTAAAGTTTCCTACAAAGAAAATGCATTATAACTACAAACCCAACTCTTTCTCTTCCCCCAAGGAAGGAATGCTCTCTCCCTACCTTGCCTCCCATTCCATGCCATCCCTCTCCTCTGACATTGTCAGGCATATGTTTTCATGCCTCCACATCTCAGGTTCCAGGATACACAGGGGAGAGCCCTGGAACTGCCCATCCTTACCCTACCCCCAACCCTACCCATTGATGACCAAAAGAAAGGGAGTATGTAAAAATCTGAGCAACTGAGGAGTGACTACTAAGACTACAACATGACCTAGCATGGGGCTTCTCTGAATGGCCAACTCTCCTAGCGCGCATAAAATACAACTTCGGGCCGGGCGCGGTGGCTCAAGCCTGTAATCCCAGCACTTTGGGAGGCTGAGACGGGTGGATCACGAGGTCAGGAGATCAAGACCATCCTGGCTAACACGGTGAAACCCTGTCTCTACTAAAAAATACAAAAAACTAGCTGGGCGAGGTGGCGGGCGCCTGTAGTCCCAGCTACTCGGGAGGCTGAGGCAGGAGAATGGCGTAAACCCGGAAAGCGGAGCTTGCAGTGAGCTGAGATCCGGCCACTGCACTCCAGCCTGGGTGACAGAGCGAGACTCCGTCTCAAAAAATAAATAAATAAAAATACAACTTTGGCCCGGGTGCGGCAGCTCATGCCTGTAATCCCAGCACTTTGGGAGGTTGAGGCGGACAGATCAACTGAGGTCAGGAGTTCGAGACCACCTTGGCCAATGTGGTGAAACCCCATCTCACATGGTGAAACCCCATCTCTACTAAAAATACAAAAATTAGGACATGGTGGCGGGCGCCTATAATCCCAGCTACTCAGAGGCTAAGGCAGGAGAATTGCTTGAACCAGGGAGGCAGAGGCTGCAGTGAGCCGAGATCACGCCACTGCACTCCAGCTTGGACAAAAGAGTGAGACTCCGTCTCAAAAACTATATGGCCAGGCACAGTGGTTCATGCCCGTAATCCCAGCACTTTGGGAGGGCGAGGCAGATGGATCACCTGAGGTCAGGAATTCGAGACCAGCCTGGCTAACATGGTGAAACCCTGTCTCTACTAAAAATACAAAAAATTAGCTGGGTGTGGTGGCACGCGCCTGTAATCCCAGCTACTTGGGAGGCTGAGGCAGGAGAATTGCTTGAACCCAGGAGGCGGAGGTTGCAGTGAGCCAAGATCGCGCCATTGCACTCCAGGCTGGGCAACAAGAGCAAAACTCCATTTCAAAACAAAAAGCAAAAACAAAAAAATACATATATATAACTTAGTTGCTCAAATTCACCCCATTCCAGAACAGCTACAGCAAAACCCCTTTTCTGTGTTCTTTAATATTTGGGGACCTTCCCTATGTGAATGTATTCTACGTCCACACTGCACTGGACATGTTTTGTTTTTTTGGTTTTTTTTGAGACGGAGTTTCGCTCTGTCACCCAGGCTGGAGTGCAGTGGTGTGATCGCGGTTCACTGTAACATCTGCCTCCCAGGTTCAAGCGATTCTCCTGTTTCACCTTCCCGAGTAGCTGGGACTTCAGGTGCCCACCACCATGCCCAGCTAATTTTTATATTTTTAGTAGAAACGGGGTTTTACCATGTTGATCAGGCTGGTCTCGAACTCCTGATGTCAGGTGATCCACTAGCCTTGGCCTCCCAAAATGTTGGGATTACAGGTGTGAGCTACAACGCCCACACCCAGCCTCTGGACATGTTTTTTTTTTGAGATGGAGTCTCACTCTGTTGCCCAGGCTGGAGTGCAGTGGCGCGATCTCAGCTCACTGCAAGCTCCACCTCCTGGGTTCATGCCATTCTCCTGCCTCAGCATCCTGAGTAGCTGGGACTACAGGTGCCCGCCACCACGCCCATTTAATTTTTTTTTTTTTTTTTTTTTTTAGTAGAGATGGGCTTTCACCATGTTAGCCAGGATGGTCTCACTCTCCTGACCTCGTGATCTGCCTGCTTTGGCCTCCCAAAGTGCTGGGATTACAGGCGTGAGCCACAGCGCCCGGCCAGGACATGTTTTAAGAGCAGAAACTGGGCTAGGTGCAGTGGCTCACACGTGTAATCCCAGCACACTGGGAGGGGAAGTCAGGAGTGTTCAAGACCAGCTGGGGAAACAGAGTGAGACCCTGCCTCTATTTTAAAGAAAAAAAAAAAAAGAGCAGACACTATATGTCCTTGGCCCAGATCCTTCCACAGTGCTCAGGACCCAAGGCTCGCATGCAGCTTTCCCACATGCTTGGGGATCTCCAGGGATAGACTGGAGGTGATGGGGCCCTGGCCAGGGGTAATGTTGCCCAGTGGGTAGCAGGTGACTACTGGTTCCCTCATGTGCCCAGTGATGGCAAGGGTCAGAGCTGTCTGCCCGGGAATGAATGGCTCACCTGGCCAAAGGCAGCTCTGGCGTGCTCGAACCCTCCAACCTGTAGCCGCTTCTTGAAGAGGTCCAGTGGATATGTCAGGGTCTTGCTGATGACACCAGCTCCACTACCACAAAGCAGGTTTTGGAGGTTCTCTGAACCAGAGAAGTGGGATTGGGAGAACGGATGAGAGAAACGCAGTCTATGGGTGACAACTTAAAAGGCATCAGGGCTAATCCTCCACCACAAATCAAACCCCACAAGCGCACTTCTTTTTTTTTTTTTTTTTTTTGAGACGGAGTCTTGCTGTGCCCCAGGCTGGAGTGCAGTGGCGCGATCTCGGCTCACTGCAAGCTCCGCCCCGCCGGTTTCACGACATTCTCCTGCCTCAGCCTCCCAAGTAGCTGGGACTACAGGCGCCCGCCACCTCACCCGGCTAATTTTCTTGTATTTTTAGTAGAGACGGGGTTTCACCGGGTTAGCCAGGATGGTCTCGATCTCCTGACCTCGTGATCCACCCATCTCGGCCTCCCAAAGTGCTGGGATTACAGGCTTGAGCCACCGCGCCCGGCCCCACAAGCGCACTTCTATCTGACTCCACTGGTCCTCCCATTCCAAAGAGCCAGACATAGCCACTTCTGGCGGAGTGAGCCGGGCTGGAAGGGCTGGAGGCCGTAGTCCCTCAGCTGGAGGCAGTGTGGGCCTCAGGCTCCGCAGCATGACTCAGTTCAGGGCTGGAGAGGGACCAGGATGCCCCACCCCTCTCCAGCCTCTCCCTGCCCACACCTCCCGCTCCCCCTGCCTGGAAAAAGCAACGGAAGAACCTCAACCAAAAAACAAGCAATTTGCAATTTGGACTTCTGACAAAAATGAAAACCATGACCAATCACGGGACGTAAATGTCAGTAATGCCAGTGATGGGTGTGGCATGAGCTGGGAGGAATCAAGTTCTCTCCAAGCAGCTGCAGTTGCTTTGTTTGCCACATTACAGAGCCGGGTACAGAGACCCAGTCTTCGATTTGGACAGAACTTTAGCTCCCTCGTGATTTGGAAGAGGGCATTCTGGCGGCTGGGGTGGGAGGGTTCCCTCTCGCGTGAGGGCTGCCTCACCATTTTTCTTTCCTTCGGCTGGCATGGCCCACTTGTACAGGTGCTTCAGGGAGCTGTAGCAGGAGAACTGCAGCCCGGCGTAGGGGAAGATGGCGATCAAGGTGGGGGCCAACCCTTTGTAGAAAACCTGCGGGCCCTCGCTCCTATACATGGTCCCCACGGCGTGGCGCAGCGTATTATAGACCTGGACACACATACGCACTTTGAATGGTCTCAGTGAGGTGATTTTAGCCCTGGAACAGCCCATCATAGCTCTGTCCCCTCGCCTAAAAACCCAGTTACCAGGAGTGAAACTCCTCCTGCCAGGAAGACAGTCAAGGAAAACGCTGGACAGAGATTCAAAGAGTGGCATTTTCCAGAAACTCCCCCTTCCACAATGTATACCACTGTTCTATCCACAGGTGTGCACAAAGGTACATGTCCAAGAGTCACTGCAGTGTTCTGGGGAAGAGCTAAAGATGCGATGTCCATCTGTGGGTGATGGTTACATGAATTACGGGACACCAGCTCACAAGAACATAGTGCAGCTGTTAAAACAGGAAGGTGCGGCCCGGCGCGGTGGCTCACGCCTATAATACCAGCACTTTGGGGGAGGCAGAGGCAGGCAGATCACTTGAGGCCAGGAGTTTGAGACCAGCCTGGCCAACATGGTGAAAGCCCATCTCTACTAAAAATACAAACATTAGCCAGGTGTGGTGGCTCACGCCTGTAATCCCAGCTTCTTGGGAGGCTGAGGCACAAGAATTGCTTAAACCTGTGAGGCAGAGGTTGCAGTGTGCTGAGGTTGTACCATGGCACTCCAACCTGGGTGAAAGGCGGAGACTCTATCTCAAAAACAAAAATAAATAAATAACAAAAATAAAGTAGAGAGGAGGTCTTGCTATGTTGCCTAAACTGGTCTCGAACTCCTGACCTCAAATGATCCTTCCTCCTTGGCCTCCCAAAGTGCTGGGATTACAGGCATGAGCCACTGCACCTGGCCAAGCATGTTACTTAGAATTATGGAAGGAAATAATCAAAGAAACAATTGTAAGTATTAAAAGTAGTCACCTCTGGGGATTGGAATCAGGGAGCAGCTGGTATTTTTTTTTTTTTTTTAGACCGAGTCTGGCTCTGTGGCCCAGGCTGGAGTGCAGTGGCCAGATCTCAGCTCACTGCAAGCTCCAGCTCCCGGGTTCACGCCATTCTCTTGCCTCAGCCTCCCGAGTAGCTGGGACTACAGGCGCCTGCCACCACGCCCGGCTAATTTTTTGTATTTTTAGTAGAGACGGGGTTTCACCGTGTTAGCCAGGATGGTCTCGATCTCCTGACCTCATGATCCGCCCGTCTCGGCCTCCCAAAGTGCTGGGATTACAGGCTTGAGCCACCGCGCCCGGCCTGCTGGTATTTTTTAAAATTGTAATTCATGAAGAACTGTCTTTGTAACCTTGATACACTTCATATGTTGTAAAATTTTTTATCACGCAAGGTCAGGTTTACAATATGGTTGTGACTAGTCTAAAGCAGGTGGAGGGTCTGGTAGGTTTTAACCAGGTCTCTTCCCCTCACTTTCATGACCAGATATTCTCTGATCATTCTAGAATCTAAAATCCAACATGTCCATAATTTAAGCTAGAGGTAATATGCTATTATCTTTTTTTTTTTTTTTTTTTGAGACGGAGTCTTGCTATGTTGCCTAGGCTGGAGTGTAGTGGCACAATCTTGCCTCATTGCAGCCCCCACCTCCCAGGTTCAAGCGATTGTCATGCCTCAGCCCCCCTCCCCCAGTAGCTGTGATTATAGGCACCTGACACCACGCCCAACTAATTTTTGTATTTTTAATAGAGACGGGGGTTTCATCATGTTGGCCAGGCTGGTTTCAAATTCTTGACCTTAGGTGATCTGCCTGCCTCAGCCTCCCAAAGTGTTGGGATTACAGATGTGAGCCACCGTACCTGGCCTAAAAAAAATTATTTATTTGTTATTATTATTTGTTTGAGATGGAGTTTTGCTCTGTCACCTAGGCTGGAGTGCAGTGGCACGATCTCAGCTCACTGCAAGCTCCACTTCCCGGGTTCACGCCATTTTCCTGCCTCAGCCTTCCGAGTAGCTGGGACTACAGGCGCCCACCACCACGCCCGGCTAGTGTTTTGTATTTTTAGTAGAGATGGGGTTTCACCGTGTTAGCCAGGATGGTCTCCATCTCCTGACCTCGTGATCCACCCGCCTCAGCCTCCCAAAGTGCTGGGATTACAGGCATGAGCCACTGTGCCCTGGCCAAAGAACAAATTTTTTTTAAATTTTTAAATAATAAAGAGATGGGGTCTCGCTACATCATTCAGGCTATAGTGCAGTGGCCATTCACAGGCACAGTCATGGCACACTGCAGCCTTGAACTCATGGGCTCCAGCAATCCTCCTGCCTCAGCCTCCCAAATAGCTAAGATAATAGCTATTAGCTCATTCTCTTTTCTTAATATTTTCTTCACTTCTTCCTCCTCACAGATTTTTACTGAAGGTTGGAAAGAAATACAGAAGGATTATGGTAGACCCAGAACAGGAAAGCTGGACTGATAGGAGCCATCTCTGCCTCAGCTCTGCGGCTACCACGCTGCAGAGGTTGGTCTGTGCTCTCTATCTGCAAACACCTTCCCCTCCATTTCTGCTTTCAGTTCCTAGGGTCCCTCATCCCATTTCCCTGCAACGACTGTCATCCCAAACTTCCAGTTTTCTACTGAGTTATCATACAGAGCAATTGACCTCTTATGCCCCAATTGTTTTCTTTTTTTCTTTTACATGGAGTTTTGCTCTGTCACCCAGGCTAGAGTGCAGTGGTACGATCTCAGCTCACCACACCTCCACCTCCTGGATTCAAGCAATTCTCCTGCCTCAGCCTCCTGAGTAGCTGGGATTACAGGCGTGTTACCACGCTCAGCTAATTTTTGTATTTTTAGTAGAGACGGGGTTTCACCATGTTGGCAAGGCTGGTCTCAAACTCCTGACCTCAAGTGATCCACCCGCCTCGCCCTCCCAAAGTTCTGGGATTACAGGTGTGAACCACTGCGCCTGGCCTACAATTGTTTTCTTTTTCTTTTTTTTTGGCAGGTGAGTTGTGACATACTCCTTAGTGGATTTCAACTTCCACAGCCGCCATCCTGCCCCAATCCTTTTCCTTCGGATTGTTCCCAGGGGACTTTGCCCTTCTCGACCAAAAAAGTCATGAGGCTGTCTCCTAAACAAAAGGGCTTCCCCACCCAGGACCTGCACGCCAACCAATACAAAGAACTGGCAGAATTGAATCCACAATTATTCTGCACTAGTCCAGATCAAATTCTATTTTTTTTTTTTTTTTTTTTTTTGAGACGGGATATCTCACTTTGTCGCCTGGGCTGGAGTGCAATGGTGCAATCATGGCTCACTCCCCAGGCTCAAGCAATCCTCCCAACTTAGTCTCCCAAGCAGCTGGGACTACAGGTGCATACCACCATGCCTGGCTAATTTTTTTGTATCTTGTAGAGAGCCATGTTGCCCAGATCAAACTCTTAAACAAAGTATCCTTCCTTTCCACTAACAGTATCCTAAAGCAGAGTTGAGACAGTGGAAAAATTGTTTCTCAGCCACGTGTGGCAGCTCAGCCCTATAACTGCAGCACTTTGGGAGGCCAAGGCAGGAGGATCGCTTGAGCCTAGGAGTTCGAGAACAGCCTGTGCAACATGGTGAAACCCCATCTCTACAAAAAATACAAAAATTAGCCAGGTGTGGCACTGAGCACCTATGGTCCCAGCTACTTGGGAGGCTGAGGTGGGAGGATTGCTTGACCCCAGGAGGTGGAGGCTGCAGTGAGCTGTAATTATACCCCTATACTTCAGCCTGGATGACAGAGTGAGACTCTGTACTAAAAATAAAGAAAAAAAGACCAGGCATGGTGACACATGCCTGTAATGCCAGCATTTTGGGAGGTTTAGGCGGGCAGATCACTTGAGGCCAGAAGTTCCAGACCAGCCTGGCCAACATGGCAAAAATCTGTCTCTACTAAAAATATAAAAATTAGCCAGGCATGGCCAGGCACGGTGGCTCACACCTGTAATCTCAGCACTTTGGGAGGCAGAGGAGGGTGGATCACAAGGTCAGGAGTTCAAGACCAGCCTGGTCAACAAGGCAAAACCCCGTCTCTACTAAAAATATAAAAATTAGCCGGGCGCGGTGGCAGGCACCTATAATCCCAGCTACTCAGGAGGTTGAGGCAGGAGAATCACGTGAAACTGGAGGGCAGAGGTTGCAGTGAGTCGAGATCACGCCACTGCACTCCAGCCTGGGTGACAGAGTAAGACTTTGTCTCAAAAAAAAAAAAAAAAAAAAAAAAAAATTAGCCGGGCAGGGTGGCAGACCTGTAGTCCCAGCTGCTTGGAAGCCTGAGGCATGAGAATTGCTTGAATCTGGGAGGCGGTCGCAGTGAGTTGAGATTGTGCCATTGCACTCCAGCCTGGGTGACAGAGCGAGACTCCATCTCAGAAACAAACAAATAAACAAAAACAACCAGGAGTTCAAGACCAGCCTAAGCCTGACCAACTGAGCAACATAATGAGACCCTGTCCCTACAAAAAGTAAAAAAATAAAAAATTAGTCAGTTGTGGTGGCACACACCTGTGGTCTTAGCTACTTGAGAGGTTGAGGCAGGATGATTGCTTGAGCCCAGGAGTTCGAAGCTGCAGCAAGCTATTGCAGCCATTGTACTCCCGCCTGGGTGAAAGATCAAGACCCTGTCTCAAAAAATATATACAAATAATAACAATAAAATGATTCTTTCTTGGTTGAGAACACACAGACACACACACATATGATGCTATTCTTAAATATGTCTAGGAAACAATACGGTGGGGAGGTCTATTTCAGGATTTAATCCCTTGTTTTCACTCAGTAAATTCTTCCTCGAGTCTATCCTATTTCCACCACCCCATTCTTTGTGGAAACCAAAGACACTTGGAATTGGCCAGGTGCGGCGGCTCACGCCTGGAATCCTAGCATTTTGGGAGACCGAGGCCGGGGATCACCTGAGGTCAAAAGTTCAAGACCAGCCTGGCCAACACGGTGAAACCCTGTCTCTATAAAAAATATAAAAATTAGCCGGACATGGTGGCATGTGCCTATAATCCCAGCTACTCAGGAGGCTGAGACAGGAGAATCGCTTGAAGCCGGGAGGCAGAGGTTATGGTGAGCTGAGATCACGCCACTGCACTCCAGCCTGTGCAACAAAGTGAGACTGTCTCAAAAAACCAACCAAACAAACAAACAAAAAAACAAAGACACTCTCATAATAATCCAGCAATAAGTTCTCGAGTCCCACTTTCCCAGATGCAGTCCTTGATCCAGCCCACTGCTGGGTATTTATTTGTTCTGTTTCTTTTTTTTTTTTTTTTTTTGAGGCGGAGTCTCGCTCTGTCGCCCAGGCTGGAGTGCAGTGGCCAGATCTCAGCTCACTGCAAGCTCCGCCTCCCAGGTTCCCGCCATTCTCCTGCCTCAGCCTCCCGAGTAGCTGGGACTACAGGCGCCGCCACCACGCCCGGCTAATTTTTTTGTATTTTTAGTGGAGACGGGGTTTCATTGTGTTAGCCAGGATGGTATTTGTTCTGTTTCATACCGGTAGGCTGTGAGCTCCTTTGAGGGAGGGACATAGAGCACCCTGCACCATGCTGCCCACAGTCATGGGTTTTACAAACTGACTGCCAGACAAACTGAAAACCCGAACCTCTCCCAGCTTTACTTTCTGCAAGGACAAGAACTCAACCTCTGCCGAGTGCGGTGGCTCATGCCTGTAATCCCAGCATTTTGGGAGGCCGAGGCTGGCAGATGGCTTGAGCTCAAGAGTTCGAGACCAGGCCGGGCATGGTGGCTCACGCCTGTTATCCTAGCACTTTGGGAGACCGAGGTGGGCGGATCACGAGGTCAAGAGATCGAGACCATCTTGGCGAACACGGTGAAACCCCGTCTCTACTAAAAAATACAAAAAATTAGCCGGGCATGGTGGCGGGCAGGCGCCTGTCAGCCCAGCTTCTCGGGAGGCTGAGGCAGGAGAATGGTGTGAACACGGGAGGCGGAGCTTGCAGTGAGCTGAGATCGCGCCACTGCACTCCAGCCTGGGCGACAGAGCGAGACTCCGTCTAAAAAAAAAAAAAAAAAAAAAAAGAGTTCGAGACCAGCCTGGGCAACATGACGGAACCCCATCTCTAAAAAAATACAAAACTTAGCCAGCTGTAGTCTCAGCTACTGGGGAGGCTGAGGCAGAAAGATCACTTGATCCCAGGAGGTCGGGGCTGCAGTGAGCAGTGATCGTGCCACTACACTGCAGCCTGGGCAATAAAATAAGACGTTGTCTCAAAAAATATATATATAGCCGGGTGCGGCGGCTCACGCCTGTAATCCTGGCACTTTGGGAGGCCGAGGCGGGCGGATCGCTTGAGCCAGGAATTCGAGACCAGCCTGGCCAACATGGTGAAACCTTGTCTCTACTAAAAAATACAAAAATTAGCTGGGCATGATGGCAGATGCCTGTAATCCCAGCTACTCAGGAGGCTGAAGCAGAAAAATTGCTTGAACCTGGAAGGTGGAGGCTGCAGTGAGCGGAGATCGCACCACTGCACCTCAGCCTGGCGACAGAGCGAGACTCCGTCTCAAGAAAAAAAAAATAAATAAATAAAATAAATAAAAATAAAAATGAAAATTATATATATGTGTATATACATACACACACACATATATAAATGTATATTATATATATTTTAAAAAACAGGCTTATCAAATAAAATAAAAAAATAAGTTGGGAGCAGTGGCTCATGCCTGTAATCCCAGCACTTTGGGAGGCCGAGGCGAGCAGATCATGAGGTCAGGAGATTGAGACCATCCTGGCCAACATGGTGAAACCCTATCTCTACTAAAAATACAAAAATTAGCTGGGCGTGGTGACATGTGCCTATAATCCCAGCTACTTGGGAGGCTGAGGCAGGAGAATCGCTTGAACCAGGGAGTTGGAGGTTGCAGTCAGCCGAGATTGCACCACTTCACTCCAGCCCGGCAACAGAGCGAGACTCCGTCTCTAAATAAATAAATAAATAAATAAATAAATAAATAAATAAATTCATTCTAGGCCAGGCGCGGTGGCTCACGCCTGTAATCCCAGCACTCTGGGAGGCCGAGGCAGGCAGATCACGAGGTCAGGAGTTCAAGACCATCCTGGCTAACACAGTGAAACCCCGTATCTACTAAAAATACAAAAAAATTAGCCAGGCGTGGTTGCAAGTGCCTGTAGTCCCACCTACTCAGGAGGCTGAGGCAGGAGAATCGCTTGAACTCGGGAGGTGGAGCTTGCAGTGAGCACAAAACAAAACAAAAACAAATAAATAAAAAATAAAGAATGCAACCCTTGTGACAACACCTTCTTTATTTGGGCTACCTCATCTGGCCCCTGGTCACTCACCTTGGGCTCACCCTGAGCTGCAAAGCGGGTGCGCAGAACATCCACGGGGTGCACAGTGAGGGTGGCCGTACAGGCAGCCAGGCCACCGCACACAAAGTGCACTGAGAATTCCCGGGCGTCGTACACGCTGCCTCTGTGGACCAGCTCCGTCAGCATTTCAAACGATAAGAACTGGAAGAGTAAGTGAAGAAGTCACTGACAGCCCAAAGGATGAGGGCGAGGACCAAATACTCCCCAAACACATCACCTGTGACTTGGCTGGGGCCCAGGTGGAGCAGGGAAGAAAAGGTCAGGAAATGTTCTTCTTGAGCAGTGACAGCATATGATAAATATAAAATTCTATGTAAAACTCAGATGCCATTTGATACTTGAGTAGAGTCAGACACTCAAAGGTTTAAGAAGATATATGGGGGCCAGGGGCAGTGGCTCATGCCTGTAATCCCAGCACTTTGGGAGGCCAAGGCGGGCGGATCACGAGGACAGAAGTTCGAGGCCAGCCTGGTTAACATAGTGAAACCCTGTTTCTAATAGAAATACAAAAATTAGCCGGGCATGGTGGCGGGCGCCTGTAGTCCCAGGTACTCGGGAGACTGAGGCAGGAGAATCACTTGAACCCGGGAGGCAGAGGTTGCACTGAGCCGAGATCATGCCACTGCACTCCAGCCTGGGCAACAGAGCGAAACTCTGTCTCAAAGAAAAGACTGGGTGTAGTGGCTCACGTCTGTAATCCCAGCATTTTGGGAGGCCGAGGCAGGCAGATCATGAAGTCAGGAGTTGGAGACCAGACTGGCCAATATGGTGGAACCCCGTCTCTACTAAAAATACAAAAATTAGCCAGGCATGGTGGCGTGTGCCTGTAACCCCAGCTACTTGGGGGGCTGAGGCAGAAGAATCGCTTGAACCTGGGAGGCGGAGGTTGCAGTGAGCCGAGATCGCGCCACTGCACTCCAGCCTGGGAGACAGAGTGAGACTCCGTCTCAAGAAAAAATAAATAAATAAAAGATACATGAGGAAAATGTGTATCAGAAAATGTCACTGGCTAACTTAGTTTTCTGAGAACTGGGAAAGATGGCCATGCTCTGATTCCTGCAGGGATCCCTTCCGTGCAGCTGGCGGCGGCCCTGTTCGAGAATCATTCTTTTCTGGGGCAGATTCTTTCAGGAACGTGTTCAACAGGGTGACCCCCTTACATTCAGATCTTTGTTTTCTTTTTTTGTTTTTGTTTTTTAGAGATGAGAGTGTCGCTCTGTCACCCAGGCTGGAGTACAGTGGCACAAACACGGCTCACTGCAGCCTCCACCTCCTGGACTCCAGTGATCCTCCCACATCAGCCCCTCAAGTAGCTGGGACTACAGGTGCATGCCACCACGTCCAGCTAATTTTGGTATTTTTTGTAGAACCAGGGTTCCACTATGTTGCCAAGGCTGGTCTCAAACTCCTGAGTTCAAGCGATCTGCCTGCCTTGGGCTCCCAAAGTGCTGGGATTACACACATGAGCCACCGAGCTTGGCCCTGTTTTGCTTTTTGAGACAAGGTCGCGTTCAGTTGCCCAGGCTGAAGTGCAGCTGCTCGATCATAGTTCACAGCAGCCTTGACTTCTCTAGCTCAAATTATTCTCCTGCATCTGGAATAACTGGGGCTAGAGGTGTGTACCATCATACCTGGCTAATGGTTTTTTTTTAGTAGAGAGGAGGTCTTGCTATGTTGCCCAGGCTGGTCTCAAACTCCTGAGCTCAAGCCATCCTCCCACCTCAGCCTCCCAAAGTGATGGGATTACAGGTGTGAGCCACTATACCAGGGCTACGCTCAGATCTTCCTTCAGCCAAATGAAGATGGCCTGGCTTCTTTTCTTTTTTTTGAGACGGGGTCTGGCTGTGTCACCCAGGCTGAAGTGCAATGGCATGATCGTGGTTCACTGCAACCTCCACCTCACCTCCTGGGCTCAGGTGCTGGGATTACAGGTGTGAGTCACCGAGTCCGGCCTAGGCCTGGCTTCTTGAGACTATCCTGTTGCTGTATTTATTTGTCATGCTGCAGTATCTGTTTGCAGACAAGTGCAGAGACAGGATCACAGGACATGCCCAGCCAGTAAACACGTGACTTGGGCGGTCACTGTGATGTCACAGGAGGAGTAGGCAGGGACGTCTCTGGCACTAGCTGCCTAGGTGGGGGTCGTGGCTCTGCCATTTTCTAGCTAGTGACTTTGGTTGGGTTAATTATGTAAGCTCTGTCCACCTCAGTCTTCTCATGCGTGACATGGGAGGGACAACAGCCCCTACCTTAAGGACTGCTGTGACTGTATGTGAAGTGCTTCCAACAGGGGCCTGGCCCATGGTTTGCACTGTACAGGGCTGGTTCTTACCATGTCTACTGCATAAAATCACACGCTGTGCACTATGACTATACTGGTGCTCCACTGAACGAAGCGTGAGCTCTAACCCTAGCCCTACCATGTGCAGGCTGTGTGGCCTCAGACAGCTGACTTCACCTCCCTGAGATCTACATGACACCTACCCTGCCCTCCTCATGATGGTGTGGTGAAGTTCAGATGAACCACGTATGTGAAGGTGTATTTCAAAAATTGAAATGCATTAGTGCTGTCCTTCGCCAAGCCCCACAGAAGGCATGACATCAAATCAGTCTCCAAGATGCAACATCTAAGTTACACAGGATAGATGCGGGGACATAGGGGAGGGGAATGCCTACAGTACAGCTGGTCAGGAAGGCTCCCGGGTGAGGCAGGTGGGAAGCGTGGGGCCTGCCTCTCCCGTCCTGCCCTACAGGGCATTCCTGCTTGCCTCACCCTCCCTCTGCTCCTCCATTGAGCAACGTGACCCCAGAGGCCTGGCCAGGTCCCCTGCCACCTACTTGGACAGCTCCATAGCCTATGGAGAGAATCTGAGCTGGGATGTGTCCCTTCCAGAAAGCTGTCAGCCCCTCCTCCTGCAGAATCTGCCTAGAGGCCTGGAAGATGCCATGGTACTTTGCGTTGGGGTCCCTTCGAGACAGGCGCTCATGCTGAAGCTGGGAATCAAAATAAAAAAGGTCAGGACAGCGGGGTGGGCTGGAATGTGAAGGGGAACTTTCAGAAAAGGCAAGCCCTTCATCTGGATAGAATTCCAAGTTTTAGGAACTGCTTTTGCAAGAAAGACTAAACTTGTCCTCCAGTCCATTGCATGGAAAAAGGGGAAGAGTACCTGGAAACGGATCTTGATGACGTCGAAGGGACTGATCAGCGCCCGAGTGACAAGTCCAGACACAGACCCAGCCACTGCCACCTGGAGCTTGGTGTTATTCCTGCCATCTGGTTTGGGGTCATAGCCAACCATCCCTGCCTCTGGCCCACACAATGTCCATCAGTATCAAGCTAAATGCAAGAGATACGGAATAAACACCAGGCAAGTTTCTTATGGTCTCTGCTCAAATACCACCTCCTGAGAGCAGCCCTCCCTGACTAGACTGGAGTTCAAGTCAGGAACTCCAGGAGTTCAAGAGCTCAGGAGTTCAAGACCAGCCTGGGCAACACTGCAAAACCCCAACTCTACAAAAAATACAAAAATTTAAAAATAAAATAAAATAGCACTTGTTTTATTGTTCTTTACAGTACTTATTACTATGGCATATTCGTTTACTTTTTTAGAGACAGGGTCTCACTCTGTCACCCAGGTTGGAATGCAGTGGTGCCATAACTCACTGCAGCCTTGAACTCCCGGGCTCAAGTGATTCTCTTGCCTCAGCCTCCCAATTAGCTGGGACTTAGAGCAGCAGGCCTGGCTAAGTTTTTTTATTTTTGTAGAGATCAGGTCTCAATATGTTACCCTGGCTGGTCTCGAATTCCTGGCCTCAAGTGATCCTCCTGCCTCAGCCTCCTGAATTGTTGAGATTACATGCATGAGCCACAGCGCCCAGCGCACCATGGGTTATTTATACAGTACATTTGTTTCTTGTCTCTCTCCCTAACTAGAATGTAAGCCCATGGAAACATGGCCTTGCTCTCATTTGTTCACTCATAAATTTCCAGTTCCGGGTATAGAACTCATCATGGTAAGTGCTTAATAATATTTGAGAATTGAATGAACAGGCTTGATAGGCAACTGTTGGTCCCAGAGAGCAACTGGCTTTCCAAGACATCTGGCAACTTTATAACAAACTCCTGCTCACTGAGTGAGCCCACTCAAGTGTAATGCTGAGGGACTGAAGGACATGCAGGGCTTAGAACAGGGATTAGGATTCTTTAACAATCCCCCACTGTCCAAAGGAAGAGCCCTGAGGCCCTGAGCCCCTTAACCTTTCCCTTTCCCCTTCTGCACACACCTCAGGCCTCCCCGGCACAGTGGGGCCATGCTATGCTAGCAAATGATGCTTCTGGCCAGGCGCGGTGGCTCATGCCTATAATCCCAGCACGTTCGGAGGCCAAAGCAGGCAGATCAGCTGAGGTCAGGAGTTCAAGACCAGCCTGGCCAATATGGTGAAACCCTGTCTCTACTAAAAATACAAAATTAGCTGGGTGTGGTGGTGGGCGCCTGCAATCCCAGTTACTCAGGAAGCTGAGGAAGGAGAATCACGTGAGCCTGGGAGGCCGAGGTTGTCCTGAGCCGAAATCACGCCATTGCACTCCAGCCTGGGCGACACAGTGAGACTGCATCTCAGAAACAAACAAAACAAAACAAAACAAAAAAGTACCGAGCGCGTGGCTCAGGCCTGAAATCCCAGCACTTTGGGAGGCCAAGGCGGGCAGATCATGAGGTCAGGAGATCGAGACCATCCTAGCTAACACGGTGAAACCCCGTTTCTACTAAAAAATACAAAAAATTAGCCGGGTGTGGTGGTGGGCGCCTGTAGTCCCAGCTACTCGGGAGGCTGAGGCAGGAGAATGGCGTGAACCCGGGAGGCGGAGCTTGCGTGAGCCAAGATCACGCCACTGCACTCCAGCCTGGGCGGCAGAGCGAGACTCCGTCTCAAAAAAAAAAAAAAAAGAAAGAAAATTACGCTCCTGGGCTCCCCTGACTCACACCTACTGACCTCTTCAGCCTCACTCTGGACCATTCTTTTCCTTCCCTCACTTAACCAGAGTGGTCTGACTGCTTCTGCCCAGTTCCTGGAAAACTCGGCGAGCGCTCCTATCTACTGCCTTGCCTGTACTCCTCCAGTTCCCTACGTCTGAAATGCAGCCCCATCTCAGCCCCTACTCACTTTTTCAAGGCTAGCTCCTCTCATCCACCAGAGCTCAGCTAAAAAGCATCCTTTCCAGGAGATGTACTTTTTTCCTTTTTTTGTAAAAACAGAAAACAAAAACAAAAAAACAGTAATACCTATATACGCTCTGTAGAGTTGTACAAAGCATAAAAAGAAGTCTGTAACCAGACACACATCAACAGATAATTGATCACTGGGAGAAGGGCTGGGAAGGGAAGAAGGAAGGTAGACCTGTCGATGTAATTCTATATTGTTTGAATTTGTTATGGAAAAAAAAAAATCCCTAAAACTAGCTTTCAAAATTACTTTAGTTCTTGAATACTTGTATTAGCGGGGGTGGGGGTGGGGGAGGAGGGGGGATACTGCCTACAGGATGACAGCCTCCACCCCAGACATCAATTCCTTGTCTCCTCTCACCCACCCTGGAACTCCTCCCCAGGCGCCCATGAGGAAGTTTAAACATGCCGCAAGCGACTGAGAGGCAAAACCTCTCCAGGAGTTACCCAGGGACCGCTCAGGTCACACAGAGCAGTGTCAGTTTCCCGCCCATCTGGGCAGGAAGGAGGAGCAAGCCCGAGTGGCAGGTGTCCTGGATCGGTGTCAAGAGGAGACCGGAGCATAGCAGGCTCTTCCCGGTGTTCGGGTGCCCATGTGCCCAAGGGTTCAGCTGAGCAGCTCTGCAGAGGTCTCCGCGTGGGTACTTAGGTGTCCACGTGTGCCTCGGGGTGTGTTTTTTCTCCCCGAGTCCGAGGGGACGCCCTGGAGCTCAGGTGCTCAAGGGCGAGAGCGGGGCTCTGCCGCCGGTGTCCCTGGAGATGCTTCTCGGGTCAGGTGTGACACGTGTGTACACAGTCCCCGCCCCTCGTAAGCGCCCGGGTGCGTGTGCTCCCTCCCTACCGCCCTGCGGAGCGAGGGTGCAGGTCCCCGAGAGGACGGCGAGAAGGACGGAGGTAGAGGTTACTCACACGGCTCGGCGGGTGCGGCCCGGCTACGCGCGCTCTGCTCTCTCCAGCACCTCGCGCAGTCTTAACAGCAAAACTCTACTGAGCTCGGGCGAAAGTGGCGGTCTCCTGGGCCAATCACCGTGCAGCTCCCCGCCAGACGCTGGACCAATGGTTTTGCGCTTGAGGTCTGGCAACCGCCTCCCGCAAGGTATCACTGGGTAATGTAGTCCTTTGCGACCAAGGGCAGGTCCGCTGGACGGCGCACAGCCTCCTGGGAGACGTAGTCCGGCTGCTCGCGGGCGCGCGAGGGCGACCGATGCGTTAGAAGGAGGTGGCTTGCGAAGCCGGGCTGCGACCTTAGGGGTCGCGGTGCTCTGGCGTGTGGCTCGAAAGTCAGCCTGCAGGCGGGGTCCAGGGTTAGGGCGCGGTGAACTTGACGCGCTTTCCTTAAACTCTGTTAATGACACAACACGGATAATCTCAACTTGGTAAAGATGGCAGGAAGCCTAGCAAAAACCTGGAGGACGTGGGGAAGAGAATAGATGAAAACAGTCTCCTCGGGGACAGGGAGGGCAAAAACACTAGTGTCTCCCCGTCTCACCCCGAATTTTGGTATTTCTCATTATAAAAGTAATATTAAAAGTATATAGACAAAAAATGTAGAAACGAAGGAGGAAATGATTCATCCTGCCGCCCTCATACAGCTAGCGTCACGGTTTTGCACGACAGGATTGCCTCCTGACTTTTAAATTGCATTTTTTTATATTCGTGTTATTTTGACGCACAATTTTAAGACATTTTTATTGTAGAAAATTTCAAGATATACAGAAAATTTCAAGATATACCTGATGAAGCCGCGTAGAGTCGCTATCCGACCTCAGCAGTTACACGACCCACGGGGCAGTCTGTTTCCTGTGTTTCTGCACCTACCTCGCACCCGCTGCCCAGCGTTATTTTGAAGTAAATACCAGACATCATGTGTCCTCACCAGTAAATATTTCAGTATATGTCTTTAAAGGACAAATATTCCCTTTTTAATACGTATACATTATGTTTCATACACACACAAAACTGTCACTTCGACCCCCAAAAAATACTTTCTTAATATCAAATATGAATTACTGTTTACACTCCTCTAAATGAAAAAAAGTCCTTCTTTTTCTTTCTTTTTTTTTTTTTTTTGAGACAGAGTTTTGCTCTTGTCGCCCAGGCTGAGTGCAATGGCGCTATCTCAGCTCACTGTAACCTTTGCCTCTGAGGTTCACACGATTCTCCTGCCTCAGCCTCCCGAGTAACTGGGATTACACGCGGGCACCACTATGCCCAGCTAATGTTTTGTATTTTTAGTAGAGACGGGGTTTTGCCATGTTGGTCAGTCTGGTCTCAAACTTTTTTTTTTTTTTTTTTTTTTGAGGCAAGAGTCTCATTCTGCCACCCAGGCTGGAGTGCAGTGGCACGATCTCGACTCACCGCAACCTCCACCTCCCGGGTTCAAGTGATTCTCCTGCTTCAGCCTCCTGAGTAGCTGGGACTACAGGCGTGCACCACCACATCCAGCTAATTTTCGTAGTTTTAGTAGAGACGGGGTTTCACCATGTTGGCCAGGCTAGTTTGGAACTACTGATCTCAAGTGATCCACCTGCCTCGGCCTCCCAAAGTTCTGGGATTACAAGCGTGAGCCGCCACACCTGGCCAAAATGTCCCTCTTTTTTTTTTTTTTTTTTTTTTTTTTTTTTTTTGAGATGGAGTCTCACTCAGTCGCCCAGGCTGGAGTGCAGTGGCACGATCTTAGCTCACTGCAAGCTCTGCCTCCCGGGTTCACGCCTTCTCCTGCCTTAGCCTCCCGAGTAGCTGGGACTACAGGCGCCCGCCACCGCGCCCTGCTAACTTTTTGTATTTTTAGTAGAGACGGGGTTTCACCGTGGTCTCGATCTCAGGACCTCATGATCCGCCCGCCTCGGCCTCCCAAAGTGCTGGGATTACAGGTGTGAGCCACCGCGCCCAGCCAATGTCCTTCTTAAAACAAGTTTGCTTTTCTAAGTGACAGAGCTCAGAAAACAAACAAACAAAAATGTTTGTCTGAATTGAGATCTTGGTTGGGTGCAGTGGCTCACACCTATAATCCCAGCACTGGGAGGCTGAGGTAGGTGGATTACTTGAGGTCAGGAGTTCAAGACCAGCCTGACCAACATGGTGAAACCACGTCTCTACTAAAAATACAAAAATTAGCCAGGCGTGGTGGTAGGCGCTTGTAATTCCAGCTACTTGGGAGGCTGAGGCAGGAGGATCATTTGAACCTGGGAGGGAGAGGTTACAGTGAGTTGAGATCGTGCCACTGCATTCCAGCCTGGGTAACAGAGTGAGACTCCATCTCCAAGGAAAAAAAAAACATTTGAGATCTCAACTGAACATTGCAACTGGAAGTCCTTTTAAAAATCTATCGTTTTTCTCAAGTTTACTTTTTTTTTTACTTGAAATTTATTTTCTTTCATTTCCTTTCATTTTCCTTTCTTTCTCTCTGTTTTATTTTATTTGTTTTTTAAGAAACTAGATAGAGCCAGGCTGGGGGTGCACACCTGTAACCCCACTATTAGGGAGACTGAGGCAGGAGGATCCCTTGAGCCCAGAAGTTCAAAGCTATAGTGCGCAATAATGGTGCCTGTGAATAGCCACTGTGCTCCAGCCTGGGCAACGTAGCAAGACTCCATCTCTACAAAAACTAAATAATACATTTTTAGGCCGGGTGCGGTGGCTCAAGCCTGTAATCCCAGCACTTTGGGAGGCTGAGGCGGGTGGATCACGAGGTCAGGAGATCGAGACTGTCCTGGCTAACATGGTGAAACCCCGTCTCTACTAAAAATACAAAAAACTAGCTGGGCGTGGTGGTGGGCGCCTGTAGTCTCAGCTACTTGGGAGGCTGAGGCGGGAGAATGGCGTGAACCCGGGAGGCGGAGCTTGCAGTGAGCCGAGATCACACCACTGCACTCCAGCCTGGGAGACACAGCGAGACTCCATCTCAAAAAAAAAAACAAAAAAACCCAAAAAACTAAATAATACATTTTTAAAAAGAAAGAAATTAAGTGGTTCATGCTGTGGCATTTTCCCTAGTCTGGATTTTGCTGATAGCATCCCTATGGAGTTGTTTCCACATCTTCCCGTGTCCCTTGTGTTTTTTGTTTGTTTGTTGTTGTTGTTGTTGTTTTTGAGACGAAGTCTCACTCAGTTGTCCAGGCTAGAGTGCAATGGTGCAATCTCAGCTCACTGCAACCTCTGCCTCCTGAGTTCAAGGGATTCTCCAGTCTCAGCCTCCCAAGTAGCTGGGATTACAGGCACCCACCATCATGTCCGGCTAATTTTTGTATTTTTAGTAGAGACGAGGTTTCACCATGTTGGCCAGGCTGGTCTCGAACTCCTGACCTCAGCTGATCTGCCTGCTTTGGCCTCCCGAAGTGCTGGGATTATAGGCGTGAGCCACCACACCTGGCCCCTGTGCCCCTTGTCTTCTCTGCTAATTGGTAGTTAGATCTAAAAGGTTTGATTAGACTGGGTTTGACTTTTTTTTTTTTTTTAAAGATAAGGTCTCACTTTGTCTCCCAGGCTAGAGTGCAGTGACACGATCTCAGCTCACTGCAGCCTCTACCTCTTGGGTTCAAGCTATCTTCCTGCCTTAGCCCCTAGTAGCTGGGACTACAGGCGCACGCCACCACACCCAGCTAATTTTTTGTATTTTTTGTAGAGATGGGGTTTTGCCCATGGTGGTCTTGAACTCCTGAGCTCAGGCATTCCACCTGCCTCAGCCTCCCAAAGTGCTAGGATTACAGGTGTCAGCCACTGCACTTGGCCTGATTTTTATTTTTATTTATTTATTTATTTATTTTTTTGAGACAGAGTCTCGCTCTGCCGCCCAGGCTGGAGTGCAGTGGCGTGATCTTGGCTCACTGCAAGCTCCGCCTCCCGGGTTCAGGCCATTTTCCTGCCTCAGCCTCCCGAGTAGCTGGGACTACAGGCGCCCGCCACCTCGCCCGGCTAGTTTTTTTGTATTTTTTAGTAGAGACGGGGTTTCACTGTGTCAGCCAGGATGGTCTCGATCTCCTGACCTCGTGATCCGCCCGTCTCGGCCTCCCAAAGTGCTGGGATTACAGGCTTGAGCCACCGCGCCCGGCCCTGATTTTTAAAATGTATTTATTTTTTGCGATGGAGTCTCACTCTGTCCCCCAGGTTGGAGGCAGTGGCGTGATCACAGCTCACTGCAACCTCCAACCTCACCAGCTGTATGACAGTTCTAGTTCCTCCACATTTCTACCAGTACTTGGTAAGGTCAGTCTTTATAATTTTACCTGTTTTTTTAGGTACTCAGTGGTATCACATTATGTGATAGGGAAATTACATTGTGCCTGGCCTGATTTTCTTTGTTTGTTGGTTGGTTTTTTGTAGAGACAGAGTCTTGCTGTCTTGCCCAGGCTGTAGTGCAGTGGCACAATCTTGGCTCACTGCAACCTCCGCCTCCCCAGTTCAAGCAATTCTCTTGCCTTAGCCTCCTGAGTAGCTGGGATTACAGGCGCCCTCCACCATGCCTGGCTAATTTTTGTATTTTTAGTAGAGATGGGATTTCACCATGTTGGTCAGGCTGGTCTCGAACTCCTGACCTCAGGAGATCCACCTGCCTCAGCCTCCCAAAGTGCTAGGATTATAGGCGTGAGCCACGGTGCCCAGCCAATTTTTTTTTTTTTTTTTTATGAGACTACTTACATGGTGTTGTGTATTTCCATGAGGAACATCGTAATGCCTGCTTGTCTCTCATTTTGTGATGTTTGTAGGCATTGTGCCTCAAAAAAGAATTGGTTCCTGGCCAGACGCAGCGGCCCATACCTGTAGTCCCAGCACTTTGGGAGACCAAGGTGGGTGGGTCACCTGAGGTCAGGAGTTCGAGACCAGCCTGGGCAACATTGTGAAACCCCATCTCTACTAAAAATACAAAAATAAATAAATAAATAAATAAATCCAAAATTAGTGGGGCATGGTGGCACACGCCTATAGTCCCAACTATTTGGGAGGCTGAGGCAGGAGAATGGCTTGACCGGGAGGTGGAGATTCCAGTGAGCCGAGATGGCTCCACTGCACTCCAGCCTGGGCGATAGAGCAAGACTCCATCTCAAAAAAAAAAAAAGGCTGCCCCATTTTATTTTCTCACCAGCTGTATGACAGTTCTAGTTCCTCCACATTTCTACCAGCACTTGGTAAGGTCAGTCTTTATAATTTTACCTGTTTTTTTAGGTACGCAGTAGGTTATCACATTATGTGATAGGGAAGTTAATTTGCATTTCCCTGATCACTGATGTTGAATATCTTTTCAGGTCCCTTTCTTCCTTCCTCTGCCTCTCTCTGTTTCTCTTTCTTTCCATAGGGTCTCACTATGTTGCCCAGGCTGACCACAAATCTTTTCATATCTTCTTGTGAAGTATCTATTCAAATCTTTTTGTTTTGTTTTGTTTTGTTTTGTTTTGTTTTGTTTTGAGACAGTGTCTCCCTCCGTCACCCAGGCTGGAGCCACACCACTGATCTTTGATCAAGATATCCTCCTGGCCCTGCACAGTGGCTCAGGCCTGTAATCCCAGCACTTTGGGAG